TTGAATGATTACTTTTTTTATTTATGAAGATATTTAAGTGAAACTTTACACTATACCAATGTATGTAAAACTAACGCCGTTTTGAAAATATCGTATTTATTACACCTGCATTAGGGTCACTGTTTAAAACACCCCTGGGCGTGGGAAAAGAGGCGATTAAAGCACGCCGAGCTTTAAAGTTGCTAAGTAACGTTACTTCAAATACGACCATTGAAATAGTCTTTTATTTCAATGAATACGACATATGAAACTACGAGTACCTATATAATCTGGGACTGAAATAAAACATCCTCTCAGATTGCATTCGGCAAATGCAAAAAATGTCCATGGCTAGAATCCTTTTTTGGAAGATTTCACAAACGCGCGTGGCCAAATCTGTTCCACTTTTTTTTATCACAGTATGGATCCAAGTTTTGAATGAATACACCAAACAGTAGAAGATTTAAATTACATGGACTTTGCATGTGTACCACATCAAATTGCTACAAAGGGACGCATGATTTATGCCGGAACGACATTTCAAAGAACACTAAGAAAAATTAACGTGAGATAGGGTTATTAAATCAGGGCGAGAAGCCCTTTCAATTTTCTTTCGAAATTGGTTTCTAGTCTATAACTTTTGATTGAGAAGTCTGATCGAAAAAGTACGAATTGTTTTGGATTCTACGCACCAAAATTAATAAGAAAAAGTGTTTTCCCGAGAAATTTTGGTGCAGTCGATTTTTGGTAAAAAAGGAAGGTTATACACTGCCTTTTTTTGAGCCCCGAAAAAAAAAATTGTCTCAGATCGACCCGGAAAAAAAATTTTCTTATAGAATGTGGCCTGTAGAATCCATAATTTCAAACAGTTCCAAGATTGGGCTACTAGTTCAAAAGTTACAGCCCTTTGAATTTTCTTTCGAAATTGGTTTCTAGTCTATAACTTTTGATTGAGAAGTCTAATTAGTCCAGTCAACCTGTGTTTTTAGTGGGAAAAAAATAGTATAAAGCTAATTTTTTCCCCATCGACTAGTACCATTTAGACAAGTGTTTAGCCAAAAGTCCCCGCCCCTACCCCCTTGCTTCCCCCCCTGTGCCACCCTAAACATGAAAAGTGTAGGGGTTTCGTAAATCGCGTCTCTCTCGATTACTAAACAACATATCGGACTGCAATTTGTTTTATTCTCTTTGCTATAACATTGTCTACAAATAAGTTTCAGTTGACTTTCGTCGTAACTTTTACCGTTTGTTTGTAATTCGTATGAAATGTAAAAAGTGGTATATTTTTCGGCACGTATTTTTACTTTTTGTCGCAGAAATTTTCACGCCGACATTTTATCAAAAAATGTTTCCTACAAAAGTTGTAGCTCCCATTATTACCTTTAAAATGACATGAAATAGTACTTACTTTGTTGAAGAGCCTGCGAGATTCAGCCGGTGTAATGCAGAATGCGTACCCAGTCGTGGCGGGTTCCGTCGAGGTGGGCCCGGCGTTGCAATGCTAATATTGTTGTATAGTGAGTGTTTTTTTAAATTTAAGGTACACTATTGCATTTTCTCTAAACTAAACCCAGTGAAACCTAAATTCCACCCTTTTTAAATTTGTGTCAAATATTAATTAAGTCCTTGTATAGGGAGCTACAGCTATAAAAAAAACGTATTGTAAATAGTTTTTTGTTTGAAAATGCATATAATATTTTGTTTATGTTATTTTAGAAGAAAATAATTGCGGTATCTTAATTTGAAGTAAAAAATATTTTCAGATTATTCACATTAAAAACTAAATTGGTGTTGACCATTTCCGATTTCCTAAACTTCCATGACAAGTTCTTCATTTTCCTCGACTCCATTCCATTTTTGAATTTGATAGATGCTCGATTAACGGGTTGTTCAGCAGCTCCAGATGTTGCAGGGAGGGATGCCATGTTAAATTTGGATTTTAATGACATTTTTGCAACAGCTTTAAGTTACATTGAATATCTACTGTCATTCAGACATGCAGACCTTGTGCATCGATATAGTTTCAAGAAAAAAGCCTCTCCTACCTCTTTGAGAATATTTGTGTCTGCCTGTTTTTCATAAAACTGTTAAGCTTTTGTGCGATCATTTGATGAACTTAGCAACTTGTTCTCGTTGATTTTGCCTTTGCCGAATAAAGAAGACGTGGTATCACATTCTGTGATAGCATAAAAAATATCACATCCTTCACATCACCAATCTGATGTCATAGGTTGATGGTGTGCCAGAGGGTTTGTGAAAGAATAGTTGTACATTTTGGCACTGTGGTAGCCCTAAGAATAGAACGAAAAGATCTGTATCCTGTCCGACAACAACTGTAGGCCTCACACTTTGAATTTGGGAGTCGGGAGACACTATTGCTCTTCCAAAATCAACGCGTACAAATTGCTAAGTTCATCAAATGACAGTTTTATGAAAAACAGGCAGACAAAAATATTCTCAAAGAGGTAGTTTTTTTCTTGAAACAAATATGGATGCACAAGGTCTGTGAATGACAGTAGATATTCAATGTAACTTAAAGCTTTTGCAAAAATGTCATTAAAATCCAAATTTAACATCCCATCCCTCCCTGCAACATCTGGTGCTGCTAAACAACACGCTTATCGTCTATCGAGCATACTATCAGATTTAAAAATGGATCCTGCAACTGCAAAAAGGCTTGCAAAAGTAATGGCAGCTGCTTTAAAGCAACACTTGTTGCACAGAAATGTGTGGGAGCTGAGGCGGATCATGCAGTAATGTAACTTTGGTTGAAGTCAAGGAAAATGAAGAAATTGTCATGGAAGTTCAGGAAATCGGAAATGGTCAACACCAATTTATTTTTTAATGTGAATAATCTGAAAATATTTTTTACTTCAAATTAAGATACCGCAATTAGTTTGTTCTAAAATAATATAAAAAAATATTATATGCATTTTTAAACAATAGTTACATAAAAAATATTTACATAAAAGTCAGGAAAATGATACATTACTGTCGAGGAAGTATATTGAAGTGCGAGGCCCCTTTGGGGCCGAGTACTTTAATTTCTGAGTCAGGTAATATCATTTTACTGACGAGGCGTGTGTTAAATTTTACCCGAAATCGTATTTCAATATCAAATTTCAATTTTTATATAGAACTTTTGATTAATGTCAATCTCAGTGATGACAGGAGTGTTTAGACATTTGGAAATGTCACAAATGCGGCCCGTAATTGCGGTAAAGTGACGGTGCGGCCGGTAAAGTGACAGTTGCGGCCAGTAAAGTGACAAACGGCAGGAAACGTAGTCTGCTCTGCCTCTGTCATGGAAACTAAAATTTCCTGACAGAAAGTAAGCATGAAAATGAAGGTTCAGGACGATTTTGGGTAATAGAAAACTATTTAAAATACGTTTTTTAGCTGTACCTAATATTTGACACAAATTTAAAAAGGGTGGAATTTAGGTTTCACTGAGAATCGTTTGGTTTTGTTTAGAGAAAATGCAATAGTGTACTTTAAAGTTTAAAAAAAACACTCACTATACAACAATATTAGCATTGCAACGCCGCGCCGCCGGGCCCACCTCGACGGAACCCGCCACGACTGGGTACGCATTCTGCATTACACCGGCTGAATCTCGCAGGCTCTTCAACAAAGTAAGTACTATGTCATATCATTTTAAAGGTAATAATGGGAGGAGCTACAACTTTTGTAGGAAACATTTTTTGATAAAATGTCGGCGTGAAAATTTCTGCGACAAAAAGTAAAAATACGAATTACAAACAAACGGTAAAAGTTACGACGAAAGTCAACTGAAACTTATTTGTAGACAATGTTATAGCAAAGAGAATAAAACAAATTGCAGTCCGATATGTTGTTTAGTAATCGAGAGAGACGCGATTTACGAAACCCCTACACCTTTCATGTTTAGGGTGGCACAGGGGGGGAAGCAAGGGGGGTAGGGGCGAGGACTTTTGGCTAAACACTTGTCTAAATGGTAGTAGTCGATGGGGAAAAAATTAGCTTTATACTATTTTTTTCCTTCAACTGGTGTTTTACGACACAGGTTGACTGGACTAAATCGAAAAAGTACGAATTGATTTGGATTCTACGCACCAAAATTAATAAGAAAAAGTGTTTTCCCGAGAAATTTTGGTGCAGTCGATTTTTGCTAAAAAAGGAAGGTTATACACTGCCTTTTTTTGCCCCGAAAAAGAAATTGTCTCAGATCGACCCGGAAAAAATTTTTCTTATAGAATGTGGCCTGTAGAATCCATAATTTCAAACAGTTCCAAGATTGGGCTACTGGATCAAAAGTTACCGCCCTTTGAATTTTTTTTCGAAATTGGTTTCTAGTCTATAACTTTTGATTGAGAAGTCTAATCGAAAAAGTACGAATTGTTTTAGATTCTACGCACCAAAACTAATAAGAAAAAGTGTTTTCCCGAGAAATTTTGGTGCAGTCGATTTTTGGTAAAAAAGGAAGGTTGTACACTGACTTTTTTTGAGGCCCGAAAAAAAAATTCTAAATCTCTCTCTCTCCAAATCTAAATCATGTGCAACGATTATTCTACCTCTTCTTGTACGCGAAAAAATTAGTTATAAAGATGTTTTCAGGAGTTTTTAGTCTAAGTAGCCATGGACTATGTTTTTATTTTATCATATACTTAGTCCATGGCTACCTAGACTAAAAACTCGTGAAAACAGAATCTTTATAATTAATTTTTTCACGTATAAGAAGAGGAATAATTGTTTCACATGATTTAGATGCAGAATTTATATCTCTATAACTTTTATTTGAATTATTTTTGCGCAAAATAATTAGGAAACGATTGCGCAAAGAAGAAGTAATTTCCCATGTTAAACCCCTATGTTCCACTTTTCGATTTACACCCTGTACACTACTAGCACACTTAGATATCAACGCTTTCTAATGTATAGTATATGTTAAAACAACACATGGGTTGCCTCAAACCACGCATTACAATAGGTATCTCCCGAAGACTGTGCGCATTTTCTATTCTATACTTATAAGAAATAAATGAACTGCAGCGTAGATTTATTATAAAGAGAACTGATGTGGACTTATACATTACATCAAGTTACAAGTATCTTTTAAGCTGAAGAAAGCCTACAGCGTCTTACAGTATGGCAATGGTCCACATGGTGGAAATTCGCAGTCTTCTTTACAGAGGCATGTTGGACAGTTTCTTTCGTCCATTTGAAATCCTTGCGGGCATTGCGTATTCGCATGGCAGGGCAGATCTGCACATATCGTGACGCCTAAGGATAATTGTCAGTTTAGTGCGGAATGACTAAATTCAGAAGTGATCTTACATTTAATTGTTTTACCGCAATCGCCGGTTGGGCAGAGTTCTTCTGTTTGACAAACGCGTTCTGATGAACAATTCATTTCTTTGCAGTGATCGATACAGTCACAAGTTTGACATCCATCGCTGTCTTTTGCGTAGCCGTAAGGGCATAGGTTTTCACACTTACGTTTTGGGCAGATTGGTGAACTCGCATTCAAATTGGAAACGGAGAATGGCACGCAAATGGATGGACGTGAACAGCAATCTTCTGTGCAAGTTTGCGCTCTAGATTGACACACTTGACCAACTGGACATATAAGTCCTTCACAAGGATCAAAGCACTTGCATATTGGGCAGCCAAATTGATCAACATCATGACCGTTAAGACAGGCAATAGCGCATATTACATCAGGACAATTCTGGGCTTGCGACCTAAAAGCAAATACAACAAGTCATCTACGTGTGTTGAAACACTTACTGAAATAGTGCCACAGTTAAAATTAAGAACTGTAAACAGGTAATCGCTTTCATATCTAACGGTGGACAATACAGACACCAACAACACTTTATCACCTTTTATAACGGGCGAATTTACGTCTCTACTTATTACAGTAGTCATACGATACTTAAACGGTGGATTAAGTGAATCCCCCCTTTCGGAATTCGTTGAAATCGCACGTTTTCAAAGTATAATTGTCTCTTCCACAAATACACGACAAATAATAGTTGAAGATCGCCACTCAAGCAATAATCTGCATTTATTTTGTGACATTTTAATTGAAATTCTAAAGTGATCAATAAAGATAAGCAAGTATGACCTCGAAAAACTAAGGAGGATTGAATGTGCTACCGGTAATACAGGTCTAAGTGATGCGTTGTGTGGGCACTAAGGCACCTTTTCTGGTTTATACCGGTTAAATAATTTTTTTTTAACAAGGGCAGGACTTGTCAGTTGGATAATAATGAGGCCACTGTTCCTATAATTCTTGTAGCAACCCTGGGGGTAGGAAGAGGGAATCGCTATTTTTTATTCTATGAAAAAATTTGTTCCATTATGGTCTTAAGACGCAAAAGATACACTTTACACAGCGCAACCGGGCTGACAAAATAAAAACAGGCAGTTTTGGACATAACTAGGATAGAAGTAAACATTTTTTGGAATATTTAAAATGTACAAATTATGTACACCTAGTACTACAAAAGTGGGACAAAAAAGGAAGAGTTTGCAAACAAGTTTTAAATATAGACTGCGTATCTGCTAGCTATGTAAACAAGACGGGGCCAGATAATATAGGTTGCTAATCCACATATCGTGAAACACGAATTTTTAGGTTTTTCGATGAAGTGTTCCCTGAATTTCAGTTGTAAATATGAATTAAACTATTTAATAGGTTACTCAAATGAGGCTTTTAGGCTCTGACTCAGGTCGTACATAAATTTTAGCCTAAAAGGAAACAGCAAAAAAAACTTTTGAGTAACCTAGTATCTAATTCAATTCATCAATCTTTAACTGGTAGTTGTGGAGTCCATATAACAAGCTTTGACCTGTTTCTCATTGAAATTGGTGTTCTTGTAGAGAGTAAAGCGACGGCTCATAGACGAAAGTAGTTGTTTCTAAAGTAGTTTCAGAAAAAAATTATGTGTTAATCAATGTGAGGGGATAACCATTGTTCAGCTGTTTGAATTCATTGTTACACATTTTTTCAATTCTATTCCTCATATTAGTTATGGTATTCATTTTGTGTTTGAATTTATGGAAAGAGTGGTAAGGAAAAAGTGGGATTAATACCAATCAAACATTAATACATTTTCATTGTTCCTAATTACCTTCGTATCTTAAAGGGTATCTTTTTATTATTTTCCAATTCTATAGTGAAATATTATTGAAACTATTAAAGGTCACCAAAGTTTCATCCACTTTCCCCTCAGGTAGGTACACTCAGCAGTAGAGCATGAACATATGTACCTGAAAAGAAAGTAATTTCCCCCAATTGTACTCAATTTCGTAGGTGTTTTGGACGCACTTTGTTGCCGTAGGTTTAAACAGTCATATTTTCGTTAAAAATACGAATGGATCTTAGTAAGACTAAACCTCTCGCCAGCAAAGATTGCCGGTCATAGAATAATAATAATAATAATAATAATAATATGTTTTATTGCCCAACAGAATAAAATTCCAATTATAGGACAATTACTAATCTAAGAAAGCTCAATAACTAAATATACTAATATCTTAACCGCTAACCTAATAAAAACCAAATTAAATGATATTAAACAAGATTAAAAATAAGATTAAAAATATTTCATCAATCTTTTAAGCTCAGATACTGAGCAAGTGTTAATGTCACACATATTAGCAATTTTGTTAAAGTTACTTACCATAACAAATATTGGTGATTTATCAAGGTTATTGTGTAACAAATTAAAGAGAAAGTTAAGGCTTGACAGAGTTCTGCGAACTTCTAAGGAATGTACCTGAAATTGAGATAACAGTAGTTGATGATCAGTACCAATTGCGGGATAAACTCTGTCCAATTTAAACGATAAAAACTTCAGAAACTTACGCTGCACTGCTTCCAGGGTTGTTTTATGGCAGTCATAGTAAGGATACCAAATAAGAGAACCATACTCTAGTTTGGATCGCACATAAGCAGCATATAGAGATTTGATAGCAAAAATATTGGAAAAATCACGACAATTTCTGATAATAAAGCCAAGCATTTTTAAAGCAGAAGCAATAGTCACCGATATATGTTCCGAAAAGGAAAGTTTAAGATCAAATATAATACCCAAATCCGTGACCGATGTACAACGTTTAAACTGAATATCATTAAATTGACAAGGATGCAAAAGAGGTTGAGATTTTCTTGAAAACGGAACTATTTTGCATTTAGACATGTTTAAGTGAAGGCAAATCATTTATGAAGATTAAGAACAGTAGGGGACCGAGGTTAGATCCTTGCGGAACTCCTGACGTAACCACAGCAGAGTCAGATATGTAATTTTTGTATTGCACACGTTGTAGTCTACCACTAAGGTATGATTCGAACAGTCGGAGAAGCGAAGTAGAGAAACCAATTTTGTCCAATTTGCTCAGCACCAAGCTGTGATCTACCTTGTCAAATGCTTTGGAGAAGTCCGTATATATTACATCCACCTGACCCTGATTATCCAATACTTCCGAAGCAAACTGTGTAAAGCAAGACAGATTTGAGATAGTTGAACGATCTTCCATAAAGCCATGCTGATCTGGAGAAATATAATTTCAAATTTGGGGATAGATTCGCGAATATAATATCTTTTCTAGTATTTTGGCAAAGTTAGAAAGTATACTAATAGGTCTGTAATTGCATATTATAGTGGGGTCATCATTTTTAAACACCGGGCAGATGCGAGCTTCCTTCCAACAGTTAAGGAACGTGGAAGTTTTAAGAGAAAGGTTAAATATTATGAGTAACGGAGGGATCTGCAAATTCCTTGACAAGGCAACTGGGGATTTGATCGGGACCTGTAGTCATTTTAGATTTCAATTTAGACATGGAAGACATAATTTCTTCGGTTGATATGCAGGTAGTATTAATAATAGGCATATTACTTAGATTTTGGGTGCAAGAAGGTACGTGCTCACCCAACGGAGCATAGACACTGCAAAAATAATCCTTGAATGCGTTTACAATTGACTGAGGTGTATTAAAAGTACAATCATTAAGAAACATTTTACCTGGAATTCTAGAAGTACCCCTTTTATTGTGAAAGTATGAGCAAAATCGTTTAGGATCTTTGCTGATTGAGTATTCAATACTGCTAACATAATTTTTATAGGATATAGAGGACATATAGAACACTTGATCCTGGTCTACAATCTATGTTTTTCTGAAGATGCGAGCGACTTCCGGGATAGTATCGTGTCAATGTTGAACAAAAAGACTTTTCGTTCAACATTGGCACGATCCTATTCCGGAAGTCGCTCGCATCTTAAGAAACACATAGATTGTAAATCGATACAAGGTGTGCTGTGACCGGCAATCTTTCCTGGCGAGAGTTATATCTCTGAGAGCTGGGATCACTAGTGCAACTTCTCAAACTTTAATGCTAATTTCCATAGCCGCAATTTTTGGGGACTTTGTTCTCTGTCAGTAGAACCAATATCAACCTTCATGAATTTATGTTATGAATTGCTAACCTTCGTGTTTTCGTTTTTTGTCTAAGAACCCAAACAGTTCTAGTTCAGATATGAGAATTCACGACCTAATCCACTCTATATATTAAAAAATTCTCTGCACGTTGCGGCATCGTAGATCTCTTCCTCAACAAACAGGATTGCCCTTAAATATATTTTATATATTTATAAGCGAGTGGCGGTGGCGTGGTGCTTCGCTCGCACGCACTATTGTCATAGGTACCACATTAAATCATAATATTCCATCTGTGCCAACATATGTGAGAGAGATAGCCAACAGTGAAATACTGATCTTGCGCACTGAGTTGTCAGTACAATTGACATTCCTGGCATTTCAGTGGCGTGTTATTTCCGTAGAACATTAAGGGATTTACAGTGCTGTAGTTCACATTTTCCTTGTTACAGTAGAAAATACGAGTCGTTTTTACGTAAGTAATCATATTGGATTATTACGTCACTCAATAGAGAAAAAAAATTACAAAACCAGTCATATTAAACACTTAGTACTTAATTTTGGAATCAATATTGATTTTTTGCCTTAAAGTTTACAATGTTATTCCTTATGGCAATAATTCCATGACCTTGTTGGTGCTGACTGTGTATGTCAAAGTTTCAAGTTTCAAAGTTTCCCATGACAAAGGTCCACTATCTATATCTCGAAAGGGAGGTTTTGGTGAAAATTTGACAGTATGCGCATTTCGAAAAGAGGAATTCATCTAGAGCATTTTTAACTTGGCGGTGCTTCCGGTTAGGTTTGTCGGAAGTTAATAACCAACTTCCTTATCTTAAATCTATTTAGTAAAATAATAAATGCATAGATGAGGAGACTTTCTCTAACGCCCTAAAAATGAGTAAAGTTGTTCCCATTTTTAAAGAGACTTCTGCCGAAAGAGAGTTCTTTGAGAAAACGAATGTTTTCTGTAATAATCAATTTGGCTTTAGGAAAGGAAAGGAAAGGGCGCTCTACTATCTTAGAAGGTCTTGAAGAACACAGGAGGGTAGGCGTGTCACTATTAGACATAAATATGGCATTCGATTGCATCTCTATCGATTACTAATGGATAAGAAATCCTAATTGACTAGGAGGGAACAAAGAGTGGAATACAACAGTTGCAAATCGTGAGTAGATACTATAAACAGTGGCGTACCGCAAGGGTCGGTGTTGGGACCGCTACTGTTTATAGTGTATATAAACGACCTAAGTTGTTACCTTCAACCTAATCATAGTGTTATGTTTGGCGACGATTCGACATTATTCTCAGTCGATCCTGACCAGTCAAATCAAGATTGTCGCGCTGGAAAAGAAAGTCGAGGGGTGGTTTAACAATAATGACTTAAAATTAAACACAGAGAAAACACAAAGATTAATACTCTCGACTAAGATAAATAAAGTAAGCTGGTAGATGTACCTTGGTCACAGCTTAACATGCACTTTTCCATACTCAT